ACAAGACACCTCAATGTCAATCTAAAACCTTGACACATCAAGAGTAGCTATCAACAACCCATTTTGGGTGTGTGTCTTTTGGAAGATTAGGAGTGAGATTAGACTATTAGTCTTATTGAATTAATAGTTTATTATTTATTTTATTTTTTTTTGTTTTAGATTAATAGTTTTTCAGATTATTAGTGTTATAAATACGAGATTATCCTATCTCATAGGAGGGGATGGGATAAAAATTATGGGATTAATATTTTATGAGATTATTTTGTGAAATATTTATTTTACCCTTCATGTTATTACTTAGTAAACAATTAGAAAATAATAAAATAGTCTTTTGAACATTTATAAATTATTTTTTTAGTATTGTTAATTTAAAATTATATATTAAATAAAAAATTTTAATTATAAATTATAAATTATAAATAATAAATTATAAATTATGGCCTTATAAATTAATTTTTTTTAGTGTTGTTAAAAAATTAAATTTACATATTAAATTTCATCAAATTAATGAGATGACAAGTAAATTAAGAAATTTCAATACAACCATATTCAATATAATATGATGTGTGCATTAGAGCATAAAAACAGAACTCAATGTCAGAAGCCTCAAAAAAACACAACAACTCCACAAATTCAACAATTATTTTTTATTGTCGTTAATTTAAAATTATATATTAAATAAAAAATATAAATTATAAATTTAATTTAATTGAAAATAATAAATTAAAATAATTAAAATATTGTGCAAAAAATAAAATAAAACAAATTTTTATTTAATCTAGCAAAAAATAATTAAAATATTAAAACTATGTTTAATATTGTTATTATTTAGTAAATAATTGAAAATGATAAAATAGTCATTTGAGTATTTATCCTTCTCCATAATATCCCAAACAAACATTGGATAACTAAAAATAGTCCAATCCAGACATCTAATCACATGACTAAACAAACATATGATACAAATTTAGTCCCAGGACTAATAGTCTCGGGACAATGTATCCCAGGACTAATAGTCCGATGGATTACAATCTCCCCTTATCTAGTCCGTTCAAACAAACGCACCCATGTGTTGGAACAATTCGTCTTGAATTCTTTAATTAGTGGTCTTTGGGTTTCAAAACTTGGTGATGATCTTGTCTATGTAGAACAAAAATATGATGCTTCAAGTCACGTTACTAAGTCGCTTTCCTAAAGATAATATTTGGACCCACCAAAGGTGTGTAGGGGATTATAGCAAATTCGCCTCCAGGATACAATGAAGCCTGATCTAAAGATCAAGTCTACCAGTGTCTGCACCGACGAAAGGAGATCAGAATATTCTTGATATAATCAAGAAAACCAAGACATTGATAATCAAGTCTGGAGAATTTGATTACTAATAAGAAAAGTAGAAACTTGCTTAAGAAACTCTTGATCGAAAACTCTAAATCAAGAGGGAGAGAGAGAGAGAGAATTGTAGAAATGATATTTGAATTTTTGGATGGAATGAAATGAATGATTTCGCAGCCTATTTATAGGCCTTGATGGATTTGATTGAATGGTCATGCCCTTGATCGCGTCCGATCAGATCTGACCGTTGGATAGACGATCTATGGTGCAGATCATTCTTATACCGAATAGCTGCTTTGACTGATCACACCTAACCACGATCGGGTGCCATTTCATCCGTATGATCATGTGCATCTCCAATCAACGGCTATGATCAAACCGCTCCAGATAGGACACGCACCATTCGATCGGTTGGTTGACTTATTGCCAACGGGCGCCACGTCACTTCTACGTGGAGCTGACTATATTCCACATCACCCATGCCACGTTGGATCCACGTCATCGCTCCAACCTGTCCGATGCAAATAAGAAAGCGCCCTCATGGCGCCTTGCACCGATGCGTCCATGCTAAGTGCAAAATGTGGCATCAAACACCACATTGCCCACGCCACGTGTGCGCATGTGCGCGTATGCGTGTGTGGACACCATCCTTGCGGTGTGGGTGCATGCACACTAGCTTTCACATTACAATTCCATATTCAAAGGAATATTTCATGTGGTACTTTATTAAGTGCTCTATGGTTTTCTCTCTTTCTAATGTGGGATAAAGTCTCCAAGCTTATTTCAAGCTTTCCAAAGAAAAACAAGGAAGGTTTTGAAAACACCCAAAAATTAAACTATAAATTTTGAAAGCCCATTTTGAAAATTCCCCAACATTTCGCCACCATTTTCAAAATATCAGATGATGATTCTTGGTTCACTTGGCAGCCTTATGCATAGGTGAAGATATCTTACGATTTGAATCATTGACTTAGTGAAGACACCTTAAAGTTAGTCAAGATGGCTTAGTAGACTTGTCTTTGAACTAGTGATCTTATACAACTAATCGGACATATGTCACGCACAGTATAGGTTACCTTAAGTATTCAAACAAACCGACACGTGGATTGGCCTTGTGTCTATATCCTGTTTCATGAGCGCTCTAGAGTCAAGCCCTTGGACTCATAGGAAGCGGCACCACCTCCTATACTCACATAGGTAAGCTTACTGAGAGTACCCCTGTAACTTATAGTGCCCTAACAACCTAGTTGTAAGCTTATTAAGAGTTTGTTAATTCATCCTCTTCTTTTCACATTACAGGTACCATGTACTCCAACCTTGGGATGAAAATGAAATAAAACTAAGTGCTTGCAATCACGACATACGGTGTACTTGGGCTCATTAAACTCAAGACTTGATGTTTCTTCAAGCGTTGAGTCGATTTTCCACCAGGAGTGATTATGTTAAGTGGGCTTAAGACCCATCCCCTTTGATAGTTTCCATACCAAATCGCTTTCAAGTTCCTTTGTTAAGGGGTCAACCAAGTTTTCACTTGACTTTACATAACTAATGGTAATTATATCTTATGTGATTAACTGCCTGACACAACTATGTCTTAGTCCTATATTCCTGGACTTTCCATTATAGACATGGCTATAGGGTCGTGATAGAGTTACTTCACTATCATAATGCAAAGATATTGGTGGCATAGGTTTTGGCCATATCTTAATCTCTAACAAGAGATTTCTTAGCCACTCTACCTCTTTACTACAAGAAGCCATTGCTATATACTCTGACGCCATGGTTGAGTCTGTTATGAGTTTGTTTCTTAGAACCCCAAGAGATAGCTCCTCCTCCAAGTTTAAAAATCCAACCACTCGTGGACGAGTGATCTTCACGGTCAGTTATCCAACTAGCATCCGTGAATCATACCAGCACTGTTGGATAGCCATTATAGACTATTCCATAGTCTATCATTTTCCTCAAGTATGTAGGCATTTGGTTAATAGCATGCCAATGCACACTACTGTGATTACTAGTGTATCCACTAAGTTTTCCCACTGCAAATGCAATATCAGGTCTAGTGCAAGTCATGGCATACATCATACATCAAGCTACCTATTACTCTTGAGTATTCTAGCTAATCAACAGCTCTTCCAGTATTAGGATACAATTTTAAATTTGAATCAAAAGGTGTAGACTTGGGTGTACAATTATATTGATTAAATTTCTTAAGAATTTTCTCAATATAGTGCGACTGGGTAAGAATCAAATTATTGTCATGATCTTAATACCCAGAATTACATCAGCCAAGCCCATATCTTTCATACTAAAGTTAGACGACAAGAAAATTTTAGTACTTTCAATGACATCATTGTCAGTACCAAAAATAAGCATGTCATCTACATATAGACATATGATTACATCTCTATTGCTAGTAAACTTACTGTACACACACACTTATCAGATTCATGTATCCTAAAACCATTTGACACTATTACTTTGTCAAATTTCTCATGCCACTGTTTTGGAGCTTGTTTCAGTCTATATAGTGACTTCACAAGTTTACACACTTTGTGTTCTTGACCCTGTACAACAAATCTTTCTGGTCGTTACATGTAGATTTCCACATCTAACTCTCTATTTAGGAAAGTGGTCTTAACATCCATTTGATGGATTTCAAGCTTGTAGATTAAGGCTAAGGCAATCAACACACAAATGGTGGCAATTCTGGCCACCAGAGCATATGTATCAAAATAATCGATACCATCCTTTTGAGTAATACCCTTAGCAACTAATCGTTCTTTGAACTTGTCAATTGTGCCATCAACTTTCATTTTTCCTTTGAAAATCCATTTACAACCAATTGGTTTGAATCTAGGTGGTAAATCAACAAGTATCCAAGTATTGTTATCCATGATAGAATCCATCTCATCATTTATTGCTTCTTTCCAGAAAGCAATGTCTTGAGACTTCATAGCCTCCTCAAAGGTTAATGGATCTGAATCCATATTTAAAGAAATCATTGTTTGCTTACAAAAAGCTGTCCTAGTTCCTTTTACAAGGTAAATAATGAAATCAGGGCCAAATGACTTCTCAATCCTAGCCCTCTCACTCCTCCTTAGTTCAATAGGCTCATTAGGTTCATTAGGCTCAATGGGAGATTTTCTTCCATAGGTGCTAGTCTAACAATTAACCACGAACATTTGCCGATCAAAAAAAAAAAAGAAAAAAGATCTTTCTTATATAACTTACTTTTAAGTTGAGATGGTTCCACTTGAAGGGAGCTTATGTATTGAGTGAGTTCAATTACGATGGTAGTGAACTGGAAATTTGATCTGTGCTATCCAATGGATACTTAAAGGTAGTTGTCTGCTTTTGTGTCCATTTTGTTTATGATAAGTTACAGAAACCAAGAATCGTTGATCTTGCATTGTCCTAACACACAGTAGCATAAAGTATCCGATTTGGGTGATGCCACCTAGGCCTCATCTAGCTGTGACATGTTTGGTGGCTCTTCAAGTCTGGGTTTTGGTATGATGAATGATGGTCAGATGGATATCCCCAATCCCATTTTGTAGTTATTTATTTATTGGGTTTTGTTGACATGGCACATTAACAAAATCCTTATTTTTGTTACTAAACTTTTTACAACTTTCTTGCACTTGTTGCTACTTTATACTGATCTTATGGCAAATTTCTGAATCTGTAGGCCATGGATTTTTTTTGGTACTATTGTGCTTTAACTTGGTTGCCCTGTATGCATGGCTTATTTCTGCAGCCAATAGCATTCTTTCGCTGATTTGTTCACCCATGCCCCTTCATGTTTGGGTGCCATATGAAATTTACCCGTGCTGAGAGTTCTGATTCAGAGATTTGGCTAATTGCTGTAATGGAAGCAATAGTTTTCTATTGCAGTACTCCAATTATATATATTTCCTTGGGATAGTACCCCTCCATCATTGTTGAGTGTATTATGAGTTTTGTTTGATTTTATTATTTCCTTTGCAGGCAAGGATCTTAGCCTTGAATGGATCATATTTCCTGAAGGCTGGAGGCTATTTTGTCATATCAATCAAGGTTTGGCTTTTAGATACTTCTGTAAAGTTTTTCTATGGATTTAGGAGAACTTTTTTTCCGCAAATCAAATATTTAGAAAAAGAAAAAATTGAAGATGAAGCTTGTATGATTTTGTTGTTTTACCTGTGATTTATATAATTTCCTTTGACTTTATAGGCCAACTGCATAGATTCTACTGTTCCAGCGGAGGCAGTGTTTGCCCAGGAAGTGAAGAAGCTACAGGCAGATCAGTTCAAGCCAGTTGAGCAGGTCACTCTTGAACCCTTTGAACGGGACCATGCTTGCGTGGTTGGTGCTTACCGGGTGCCAAAGAAACAGAAAGCTGCTGCTGCTGCTCCTGCATCGTAAACACAGCCTTTCCTTTTCCCATCTTCCATGATGCACTAGGAGGAGCTGATGGGGATGGTAGATTCATATATGAACTGAACGGACCTGTACCGTAACTATTTGATTTATCGTTTTGCTAAATTGCTTGCTTTTTTTTGTCGAGACTTAAATGGATTGATTTAGTTTTTTTGTTGAAACTGACTTAGAATATGTTGGATTTCATGGAATTGTTCCATAATGGCCTTTGTATCAATCATAGTAAAATGCATAAAATTACTAACAGGAAATTTCTTATTGGTGGCATCCTCGATGAGGTACTTTGACAATAATATGTCCCATAGTTGCTTTGTCGTTTCCAGATGTTGATACACATCGAATAGAGAGTCTGACAACGCATTCAGAATGTGTCCTCAGCAAACGTAGTCGTCATTCTCCCATTTGGTTTTGGTATGGGTTTGCTTCATAGTCTCGTCTTCCTACTCCATCGGATAGGGAGTAGTTAGCACATAGACCACTTTGAGAGTGGTGAGCAAAAAGTGCATCTTCTTTTGCCAGGGCTAGAAATTTCCTCCATCAAATCGATCAAGATTCATGAATCTTCAGTCATTTTCTGAATAGACATCGCCATATCTGAATATTGTCTTTAGATAGTTGGAACAATTCGTCTTGAATTCTTCAATTGGTGGTCTTCGGGTCTTCAAAACTTGGTGATGATCTTGTCTATGTGGAACAGAAATATGATACTTCAAGTTGCGTTACTAAGTCGCTTTCCTAAAGATAATATTTGCACCCACCAAAAGGTATGCATGGGGTTATAGCAAATTCGCCTCCAAGATACAATGAAGCTTGATCTAAAGATCAAGTCTACTGGCGTCTACACTGACGATAGTAGATCAGAATACTCTTGATATAATCAAAAAAACCAAGACACTGATAATCAAGTCTGCAGAATTTGATTACCAATAAGAAAAGCAGAAACTTGCTTCAGAAACTCTTGATCGAAAACTCTAAATCAAGAGGGAGAGGGAGAGGGAGAGGAAGAGGGAGAGAGAGAATTACAGAAATGATATCTGAATTTTTGGATGGAATGAAATGGATGATTTCGTAGCTTATTTATAGGCCTTAATGGATTTGATCGAATGGTCATGTCTCTTGATCGTATCCGATCAGATCTGGCCGTTAGATTGACGATCTATGGTGCAGATCATTCTCACATTGAATAGCTGCCTTGACGAATCACACCTGACCACGATTGGGTGCATCTCCAATCAACGGCTATGATCAAACCACTCCAGATCGGACATGCACTGTTCGATCGTTGGTTGACTCATCGCCAATGGACGCCACGTGGAGTTGACTATATTCCACGTCACCCATGCCACGTTGGATCCATGTCATCGCTCCAACTTGTCCAATGCAAATAGGAAAGCGCCTTCAGGGCGCTTTGCGCCTGTGCTCAATGCAAAGTGCGCCATCAAACGCCACACAGCCTGCGCCATATGCACGTGTGCGAATGGTGTAAAACACTATCCTTACAGTTGTAGACGTCCCTGAACATCCCGGGAGAAATCCCGTTTTGTTCATTGGGGTTTACTACAGTTTAGACTCAATGTCACGGTCTTGTATCTAATCTCGTGGAGTGCAATGCAAGACCGATGAATCATCAAAGAGTCCAAATCCGGCAAATTGTTTTGAAAAACTGATTTTTAGAAAAAAGTGCCAAACATGGACTGCTTTGCCAAATACAGAGTCGCCACCTAAATATTTTATTTTGGGAGAATTTAAGAAACCCTGACTCGTGCCTAAGGCCACGTGCCCGTTATCACCAAAGTTGCCTCGGCTCGGGAACTTGGGTACGATTGGGGAAGGTCATTTCATGAGCACCCCTGCTCGCCCGATCAAAGATCGGCCACTACTAAGCATGATATCTTGTTTTTTGAAAACACATGTGTTCTTATTCCGGTTATTAACTTAGAATTACTATGTGATGCGCACAACATACAAAGTATAGACTAGATTGTCTAAGTTGGAACAAAACATCGCATATCCGTCTGTTTTGAAAATGGATTGAAGTTTGCTACTCGCAAGTAGGCTAAAACACAGGTTTCGGCGAATTATTCCAATTCAAGCAACCCAACCTTCACCCACAGGCATTCGGGCAGTTATATCACATAAGCACATAGTCTCATGGTAAGCATGTTATCATGGCAGTCACTCACACGCATGCAAGGATGCTAAAGCATAAACACTTACCGAGTACTCCGAGCTAAAGAAAGAAGCTAATTAGAAAACATGCATGAATCCTAACTATGCTGAGATACCTAATGCAGCACATGCAAAAATACAACTACAATAGGCTCGGCTATTCTAAGATGGTATATGAGATGCAACAATCGATACATGTATTCAACTTAGAATTGAAATACAATGCAGTTAGCATGATGCGCTGAGCCCGGTGCATGCAAAACAGATGAATGGATGCAAACATACGAGCATAAGGATGCTAATTTAAACATGCCCTAAAACTAACCATCATAAGCTGGTAAATAAAAGAGAGAAAGACGTGGGGTTGGAAGACATACATCACACACACGCACATTTATTACAACATTGCCCTCCTTGGAGGGTCCAAATAAATAATACACAATCGAATGAATAACGAATAACAGCTAATTATTACACAACCTAATTAATTAACAAATTAATTAAAATAAATAAGCTAGCATGCAAAACATATGAAATGGATTGCCTTAGCTCGGTCTTCAATGATAAGGAATGCATGCATGCTCGAGTCGCCTTGTCGGAAAATCCATCGCGATGCCCCAAATTGCCTTTGTTTGCAACTGGTCCCAGAACACTATACAAAACTCCAGAAGGCTGAAACTTCACCATGCTGTAGGGATACTACCGACCAGTTTTTGCTGCTGGCTTCCGGTTTGCTGCAACAGAGAGCAAGAAAGGGGCATAACAAAGTATTTTCAACATATGTGTGCACGACCACTCTCCCCATCATTGCATAAGCTCTAGGGAGTGTAGTCTTCGATCCTCGTGCCACTAATCACGCATCTCGATGCATGATGGTCGAGGAGTCGAATTACATAACTCAATGTGAAATGGATGCACAAATGAACACAATAAGGCCTAAACTCCATCATGGGTAATTAAGAGTGTCGGCGACCGAGAATCGAAGCACGTTTCGTCACTTTGAGTACGAAACGTCCCTCGTTTCCTGTGTTTGGACTAAACCTTACTCTAAACACTATGCAACAACTGGAATGGCATAGCATGCAAACACAATGCAACAACTAGCATGCAATCCTAAACGAAATGCAACTAAGACATGCAAACATGCAAGGAATGACATGCAAAGGTGCAACTAGCATACACAATGCTATGAACTACGAATGGTATACTCAATGCACATGACGCTATATGGCATACACAACGCACATATGACGATGGACATACACAAAGGCATAATCAAGGCATACACAATGCGACGATCAAGTATGAGACAACATGGACATGGCTTACACAATGCAAGATGGACTTAAACTAAAATGAATGGGCCTCAGCCACACTCAAACCAGTGGCCAAACATGATGAAATTAGGCAACGAAAACTCATGCAAATATGCACAAATGCAAGGGACCACACCTAAGGCATGAAATGCAACTCTACCAAAGCATGGAAAAGGATGAAATATGGCATACAATCACACATTTTTCAGCTCTGAAATGATATGCAAGATGGTCCCGAATCATGTAAACGCCTCACACAATGCATGCTAGATGGCCCGGATACTGAAACTAGTGAAGTGCATTACACTAGAGGTACACAAAGCAATGCTCAAATGACCCAACCAGCCTCAAACAATCCCTATGCAGGTCCAAGACAGTGGGAAAATGGTCTAAAATGATGGCTCAAAATGCATAGAAATGAAGCTCATGCAATGGTCCATAAATGAGGTATTCATGCACAACTCTCAAACACATTTAAAGAGTGGAAAACATGGGAATATGGAATAACTATAGGCTCTGAAATGACATGCTCAATGACCCCAAAACATGAAAACACCACCATTCAAGCATGCAAGAAGTTTCAAAACTCAAAGCTAGGCATGGGCATTACACTACAAGCATGCATAGCAAGCATCATTTGACCAAGAGGCCTAAAAATAGAGCTAAGATAGCCCAAAACATGCACAAAATCAGTTTGGAGTATGGTCAAAATATGCTAGAATCAAAGGCCAAAATAGCATGCAATGTAAGCTAGTAAAGAGGATTTACACTACAAGCATATGAGGCATTCAAGAGGTCACTAAACTAGAAAAACTCAGAGGTATGACATGCCAAATAAAGCCCAAAAACTCACTGAAACATGGTCAATGCATGCAAGAATGACATGCTCCTTTGATAAGCTATGAAGAGGGTTGTTCTACACATGCAAGATGGACACCCAATATGGCAAAACAAGCTCTGGAAAGAGCCTATGCAGGTCCTAAAACTCACCAAAAATGGCCTGAAACATGGCTCGGAAACATGCAAATAAGGACTCCTTTGTTAGGCTAATTATGCTAGGAAACAAAACAAGAGGAGAGAGGGTCACCCCTCCCTCATTTTGGCACTCAAAATAGCATGCTAGCCACTGAAAATCTATTGGATTTCAGTGGCTAGAAGGCCAAACGAAGGTCAATGCAAAAGCCCTAATGCATGGCTCAAAATAAGGCAAAATAAAGCATGCAAGGGGGTAGATGACTCCCAACAGAAAAATGATCGGATTTCAGTGGCTAGAAGGCCAAACGAAGGTCAATGCAAAAGCCCTAATGCATGGCTCAAAATAAGGCAAAATAAAGCATGCAAGGGGGTAGATGACCCCCAACAGAAAAATGATCTCAAACAAACATGTTAAGGACCTCAAAATAAGACTTTTTTCAGTTGATGACAAAACTCAAATATACTTGCAAGTATGGCTAAAAGATGAAGCAAAATAAAGCCTTAAAAGGGAGAAAGTGTGTTACCCTTGTAGCTCAGCAACTCCAGCAGCTTCTGGACCAAAAATGTAGCTCCTCAACCTCTGAAAAAGGCCTCGCAGAAGCTTAGGTTGGTGTTGGAGGGTTAGGCTAGGAGATGATGTGTAAAGGGCCAAAAACTTCACACTTTCTAAGCCTAAAGGGAGAGATATAGA